TTTAGCCTCCATGTATTTGAGTTCTTTCCAACTTTCCTCTTTTTTTTTTCTTTTTAAGATTTTATTTATTTATTTGACAGAGAGAGACACAGCGAGAGAGGGAACACAAGCAGGGGGAGTGGGAGAGGGAGAAGCAGGCCTCCTGCGAGCAGGGAGCCCGATGCAGGGCTCGACCCCAGGACCCTGGGATCATGACCTGAGCCAGAGGCAGATGCCCAACAACTGAGCCACCCAGGCGCCCCTTGGCAATGACTTTTTAGATACAACACCAAAGGCACAACCTGTGAAAGGAAGAATTAATAGGCTGGACTTCATTAGAATTAAAAAGCTCTGCAAAAGATATTGTCAAGAGACTAGAAGACAAACCACAGACTGGGAGAAAATATTCACAAAAGACATAGCTGATGAAGGGCTATTATCTAAAACAAAGAATTCTTAAACTTAATAGAAAAAAATGAACAAACTGATCTTAAAATGAGTGAAAGATTGGAACAGACACCTCAGCAAAGAAGATATATGGATCGCAAATAAGTATATAAAAAGATGCTCAATATCCTATGTCACTAGGGAATTGCAATTTAAAACAGGAGTGAGATACTATTACACACCTATTAGAGTGGCCAAAATTCAGAACACAAACACCAAATGCTGGTGAGGACATGGAACAACAGTAATTCTCATTCATTGCTGGTGGGAATGTAAAATGGTGCATCCACTTTAGAAGACAGTTTAGCAATTTCTTCCAAAACTAACCATACTCTTACCAGAAGATCCAGCCATTGTGCTCCTTGGTATTTACCCAAATGGGTTGAAAACTTATGTCCACACAAAAACTTGCACACAGTTGTTTATGGCAGCTGTCTAAATCCATTCGTGCTGCTATAACAGAATACCATACTGGGTGGATCACAGACAACAGAAATTTATTTCTCACAGTTTGGGAGGCTACCAAGTGCCACATCAAGGCACCAGCAGATTTGATATCTAGTGAGGGCTCACTTCCTGGTTCCTAGACAGGAACTTTGTTGTGTCCTCACATGGAGGAAGGGGTGAAGGCGCTCTAACCCATTCATTAGGGCTCCATCCTAATTACCTAATCACCTCACAAGGTGTCACAAAAAACCAAATGCCATCACTTTGGGGATTCGGTTTCAACATATGAATTTGGGGTGGGAGAGGGGACACAAACATTCAGTCTAAAGCAGCAGCTTTATTCATAATTGTCAAAACTTGGAAGGAACCAAATTGTCCTACCCTAGGTGAATAAACTGTGGTACATCCAGACAATGGAGTAGTATCCAACGCTAAAACAAAAATGAGTTATCAAGTCCTGAAAAGAAATGGGGGTTTCTTAAATGCATATTACTAAGTGGAAGATGTCAAACTGAAAAGCCTCCATGCTACATGATTCCAACTGTACGACATTCCGGAAAAGGTGAAACTATGGACACACGAAAAAGATGAATGGTGCCAAGGGTTTGGGGAGAGGTAGGGATGAACTGGAGAAGCACAGAGGATTTTAGTGCCTCAAAAATTTCTTTATGATACCATAATGGTAGATACTTATCATTATAGATTTGTCAAAACCCAAAGATTGTACAATACCAAGAGTGAAGTCTAATGTCATCTATGGACTCTGGGATAATGATTCGTTAACACAGGCTCATCAGCTGTGACAACACATGCACCACCCCGAATAGAAGAGGGGTAGTAGGGGAGGCTGTGCGTGTATGGAGACGGGGGGTATTTGGGGAGTCCCTGTACTTTTGGCTTAATTTGGCTGTAAATCTAAAACTGCTTGAAAAAATACAGTCTATTTAAAACAAACAAAACAACAAAAATACTTTGTATGGCAAAATGCTATGTACACATGAGGGGTTCTTACTGCTTAAATAGGCAGGTGTTGTACATTGGGGGCACAGCTTGGCATTTACGGGGAGATGCTTAGAAACAGAACATCGTTTGGAGCTGTTTTTTTTTCTTCTCTGAATAAGGTTAGTGTGCTAGAGGCCAAGGTTAACACCTTTATGACTGTGGCAGCCAGCTCTCCTGTGTCCCTTCCCTCTGCCCTAACACACAGGTATGCAAATGCATCAGGGAGGGGTAAGCTTGAAGCTTCATGAACTAATTCCTGAGAGATGAGTTACCTGCAGAACTGGCCTTCAGCCACTTCCCCTCTCTGGGCTTCAGTTTCCCTGCTTGAAAGGAAAGATATTTTAGATGTTTTCTAAAACACTTTCCAGCTCTGAGCTTCTGTGAGTCTTCTTTTCATTTCTCCAGGGGCCCGTGCTTTCTCTGGCTTCTAAGCTTCTGGACATGTGGTTCCTTCCACTAGGACCACTGTCCCCACTTGCCTGGCTGACTGTTTGCTGTTCTGCCTTTCTGGTGGCAGCATAGGTATCACTCTGGGGGAAGTCCTCTTGACCTCTCTACACAGATTTAAGTGCCCTTCTCCATGCTAGCAGACCCCGACTCATCCTCTGTTTCTGTGCTTAACATACTAAATGATAACTTTCTGTTTACTTGTCTCTTCCCCACTCTAGACTGCCACACTGCTGAGGGCAGAGAGTGTCGTAGTTATCACACACACACACACACACACACACACACACACACACACACTACAGGGAGTCTCAGGCCCAGATTTTCTTGGGGATGGCCCAGCTCTGCCTCTGCTTGGGGAGCTTCCAGACCCAAATCCTCTGGGTCGGACTATGCCTCCAGAAACACTCAACCACCAGCTAGAAGCTGTGAGTGGGAAAAACATCTTTCATTCGTAAAGGAACGATTTACATTATTAAAAGAATCATTACTATTAGAACTTACTTGCAATAGAGCCTTTCTAAAGGACCACAGAGAGTCCCTTTTAAGTGTGATCTTTTTACATATTTGTTTTTAAAAATTTATCAGAGGGAAGATTTAAGATCTGCAGTCTCCCAACCCAAGGATCTCTCAGAGGTTAAGGCAAAGGATCAGAAATGATAATAATTCTAACAGACCTTTGAGCACTTGGTTTGGAATTTTCCATTGCATTGACAGGAAGGCAGACACCTTCTGTCCTGGCACTTTCCTGCTGTCCCGGGTTGGCTTCGTCCACCCTGCACCTTTGTTCAGCTCCGCCCAGTACCGCCTAGCTGAAGCCTCTCTGCCCACCAGCCTCAGAGCCGGCTCTGGTTGTGCCGAGATGGGGCTGCCCAGGCCAGGGCTGTGGCTGAAGAGGCTCTGGGTCCTCTTGCAGGTGGCTGTGCAGGTGGCCGTGGGCAAAGTGTTCCTGATACTGTTTCCCGAGAGAGTCAAGCAACACATCTTGGCCATGAACCAGAAGAACCCCCACTTTTCCTATGACAACTGGGCCCCGACCTTCTACAGCATGCAGTATTTCTGGTTTGTCCTGAAGGTCCGATGGCAGCGACTAGAGGACAGGACTGAGCCCGGGGGCCTGGCCCCCAACTGCCCTGTGGTCCGGCTCTCAGGACAGAGGTGCCACATTTGGGACTTCATGCAAGGTCAGGAGACGGTTACGAGCTTGAGATGTGTTTGGAATGGGGCTGCAGAGGTGGGTGGGGAGGTGGGTGGGAAAGTCCTGAATTCTCCTACTCTAGCTGCTCCTTTTTCAGTTTCTTGTCCTCTTCTCACTTCCTGAAACTGGGACTTCTAGATTCTGTTCTTCTGAGCGGCATCACCACCCTCCCAGGCCCTTAACCCGCAAGCCAGCCACACTGGCCTTCAGCTCCTTCTACACACTCTTCAGTCAGCCCCTCGTTCAGGCTTAACATCCTCAACTCTTCTTTCTCGCGCCTGACCTGGTAGGAAGATACGTGTGGGGGTGTTTGGTTAGTGTCTGCCGCGCTCACTGGCCTGCACGCTCTATGCAGCTGGAGCCTGTGGAGGAAGCCCAGGCCCAGCCTCCTGCTCAAGGCCCTCCCTGGGCCAACTCCCGCCTCCCTTGCCGGTCTCACCTACAGGCTTCCCCTCAGCTCTAGCCTCCAGATGAACTCTTGAGCCAGGCACGTCCCTTGTGCTCTCCCTTCTCTACCTTGCTGATGTTGTTGGCTCTTCCCCTCTATCACCCACAGTCCAAAACCCCTCATCCGCAAGGCCTGATCTCCCGCCCCCCTTCTGTGAGGCCATCTCGGATCCCCACGGCTAGGCACGTGCTCTCTCTCCTGGGCTCACGGCTCTGCATCTGCCCCTCTCCTCAGACTCTGATTCTTCCCACCCAGCATCTGGCTGCCGAGCACAAGTGTTTTCTTCCTGCCCAATGGGGACCCTCGTGACAGAACCGCGTCTGATTCACCTCTGAATTCCCGGCACCTAGACCCAGCAGATAGAGTAGAGAAGGTCCCTGAGGCAAGCTGGCTAATCTGGTATTTTCCAAAGCATGTTCTTTGGAAGCCACATCCCACAGATATGCTTTACTGCATTGAGTTTCCTGATTGAAATAGCTTGGGAAACCATGTACACCATACCCTCCTCTTGGAAATTCAGAGAACACACGAGTATTTAAAAAGCTCTGAGAAGCCCTGAAGCTTAAAAACAAGCAAAACTTGAAAAAACTGACAAAACACTGACTGATTTTCCTAACACACAACCCCCAACTCTCCACCTGAGGAAATGCCCGTCATCATCACCCAGGTTCCAAAGAACACCCTTTGGGAAACGTTGGCCTAATCCAACCCTCTCACTTTAGAAGGGAGATGGAGAACACTGAGAGGCAGAGGTAACAGAGCCAGTGAGTGACCAAGTCAGACCCAGAATTGGACTTCCTCATCTCGTTCTTTCCAGTGCACCTCAGCAAACATTCCTGAGCACTTCCTCTGTGCCCGGCCCCCAGCTAGATGCCAGGAACTCAGAGTTAGGTAAGAGCTTGCTCCTTCACTCGAGGAGTTTAGGGTTTCATCGAACAGATAGATGTCATAAGCAAATCCTCACAGTTCTGTGAGACAGGGGAGGCTGTAAAGGTATAAAGTCTGCCTGTGGGGCTTGGAAGGTTTCCTGGAGGAGGTGTTTTTGGAACGAGGCCTTGAAAAATGAGAAAGATTTTTGTAGCTTGGGAAGGGAAAAGTGTTTCTAGCAGAGGGAAGGGCAAGAGTTTTCTGCTCATGACTTTCCAACTGCAGGATACAAATGACCTCCTTTTATTCAACATCCACTAAGTGACCATGGTAATAAGAGCAATGAGAATAACCGCTAACTTTTATTGAGTGTCTACTATGTGTCAAGCACTGTGCTAGAACCAGGCCAGTTTGCCAAATACGCATCTAGTGACAGGTTCCATGAAAGCCAGCTTGCCGCAGGGCAGTTCACAGAATGTACTTGCTTCTTTTAACTGTTCACTTTTAGTGGACCGGTTTTTTTAAAGACCGTTCTATTCGTCTCTGCTCCCTGCTATTGCACCTCAGACTGGAGAATAGAAAGAGAGGGACACCAAGAGACAAAATTCTACCTGTAAAATAGAGTTGGCTTTTGGCTTATTGACCCAGAAATAATGGTACTGAATGGTCCTGAAATAATAGATAGTGGTGGTACAGACATCAGCATGACTGATCTATGCCCTGGAAAATCCCTCATGGCCTGGCGGGGGGGATGGTGTAGTGAGAGAGAGAACCAGAGGGTTCTGGAAGAAGTGGGATGGGGTAGGGAGGCGGTCAGAGGAAGGCTTCTTGGAGAAGCGGATGGTGAGCTGATTGTCTAGGGACAGTGAAGCCTTGGGATGGGGGGGGAGGGGAGCGGGGAGCAAAGCAGGACAGAGGAGAGGAAACACAGGGGGCCGAGATGTGGAGGAGCATGGGTCAGTTTTGGCAGAATTGGGGCTGGGGGGACATGAAGCATTGAAGAATGAGGCTGGACACGTCATCAGAGACCAGCGTTTAAGGTATCTTCTGTGTCTTACTGAAGAGGGTAGACTTCATCCTGAGGGTATTGGTGAATTCTAGAAGGATTTTCAAGCAGGGTGTTAACAATGATCAGTTCTGCTTAATAGAAAGAGATCCTCTAACTGCTTTGGAAACCCATCAGCCACTAAAAAGCTCTGATGTATGCTTTGAGTATAAATCTGATTTTAAGGTCTAGAAGGTCTAGAAGACTCTACGGATAATCTAAAGCAGTTCTTTCGTTTGCAGAGGCCCAAAGAGGTAAATTACGTGCTCAGAGTCAGTCGTATGGCGAGTTCTTGTAGAGCCTGAACTAGAACTTGTGGCTTCTGACTCTCAGCTAGTGGACTTTTTGTTATTGGATAAGACAACAGAGGCTCAGCGGAATTCCCAGCCACCTTCTATCCTCCGCGTGTTCTCACATGTGTACACATGTGACGTACACACACTCCCAGACACACACGCAGAGCAAAACACTGGTGTTTAACTGGTGTGTTGTGGTAGAAGGCAAGTCTGGATCATTTATTTTCGAGGTACTTGGGAGTTAATAGGAAACTGGATTTATTTCAGTCCCTGTTTATGATCTTCTAAAATCTCCCCAAGTGTACCCAGGAGGTGTCATCTAGTAACCATAAATGGGCTTTCTCTGCTGAGAGAGCCTGGCACGGGCCTTAATTTACTGGCCTGGAGGTCATGATGGGGGGTTCAAGTCCAGCTACTACAGAGCTCTCTCCCCATTTCTGCAGACAAGATGGACTTGACAGAGCTAGCCCGATGTCTGAAATGGTGTTCTCTGCCCCACGGCTTGCACACACGGGCAGAGTGCCAGTGCTCTGTCCTGTCAACCCCTCGCACCCACCCTTCCCCTCTGCTATCAGGAAAGCGGGGAACTAAGTGTAGTAAACTTTGCCCTCCATACTGATCACTGCACCCAACCACACTATAAATAATTAAACACATGGCTCTGTCTTTTCCAGTTTCCTAATCAGTGAGTGTTGAATTTTTTTTTCCAATTAAAAGCAAAATTCCAGATAGCTAATATTTAGCACTGGTCCTGACGTGAAGTCTTTGGGGTTCTTATCTAAAGTGTGACTCTCTGGGGTCATTGGAGGCCGGTGGTTGGGCACTTGGCCTTGACTTGCCTCTGAGCCTACCCTGAGGAGGCCTGGGTAGCCCTGTCACGTGGGCACGGACTAGTGTAATCATCCAACAGGGACTGAGGCCCACTCAGTGTCCCCTAGTGCCTCCTAAGAAAAAAATCTGTGAGCCAAGAACACGGAGAGCTTTGTATCTCCTGGCCAGCTTTCTCCTCATGTACTGAAAAATGAAGACTCTATTATAGTCAATTGTTTCTCTCTTTACTTGGCCACCAGGAAACTCAGTCAAATATTAGTTCAGTTATGATGAATGCATGGGACCTTAAGACCGCTTTGTTTTCCATCTTTCCCTCCTGTTCTGTGCCTCCCAGAGGGCATGATTCTTTTTTCATTAAAGTTTTTTTTTTTTACTATATGTATAGGCTGCTTCAAACCCATTGCACAACAAGGTGAGGGTACAACTAAGGAAATACACCATCAGCAAGTCCTGTCAGTTTCCTCTTTCGCCTTCTCCGAGGCCCACACCCTAGCCCGGGCTCCCATTATCTCTCACGTGCATTTCTCCGACGGCCCCTGGCTGGATCCTTCCCACTTCCATTCCTATCCTCAGGCCTTTCTCCATAGCGTGATCTTCAGGTGTAAATCTGACAGTGTTTCATTATATACCTCTACCATACGAGTTGGTTCTGGCTTGCAAGCCACAGAAACACACTCTGGTTTTCTTAGTCACACGCACACATATACAAAAGAATGTTTTAAGAATGTGTTGCAAGATCCCCAGAATCAACCACAGCTGGAGCACTGGGCCTGGACTCTCTTTCAGCCTCAAAAGTCAGGCCTGGATGCTGCTGTCACTTGGGTGCCTTGGGAACCTACCCCCACGCCCCCAGGACGCCACCATCCCGGACAGGAGCACTGCCAGTGGGCCATGGATGAATTCTGCCGTCTCAGTGACTCCAGGATCTAAGATCTCTGTGGGACGGTCCAATCAGCCCAGACTGGGCCACTGCTTATGCCTTGGCTGTTCAGGACAAAGCACAGACCTGGCCCCTCTTCCTCCATAGAGGCGTACTCTCCCATTAATAGCATTCAAAATAGGGAATTCCAACTAGGAAGGACGGTTAGGAACTGGGCAGCCAAAATTGCAACAAATATCCACCATCCTTGCTTTATATCTCCATGATGTCCCATTGTATCTAGAATAAAATCCAGATTTTTCACCAAAGCATAGGAGAGCCTGCCTCCCCTGGCCCATACCCACCTCTCCGGTCCGACCTCTCACGACCCACCCTCCCCTACCTTGCACCCCCTCCCCAGGCCTGGCTCTGGTCATAGTGGCCTTGCAGGTCCTTGAACACGCCAAGCTCTGTCCTGCCTCAGGGTCTTTGTACAGGTTAGAGTCGTTTTGTCTGGAGAATGCCCCCGTCCTCCCTTTGCCCGTGGCTGGCTCTTTGCTGTCCTTCATTTCTCAGGTTAAATGGCATGTCCTCAGAGGCCTTTCCTGACCCACCTGTCTAAAGTAGGTCACTCCTTTAT